TCCCAGTGTCAAAGTCAAACCCACAGCGCTGCACCAGCTACTAAGAAGGAGAAAAATGACTGCTACAGCTGAACCCAGGACAGGAAATCAATCAATCATGTCTCTGCATGGAAAGACAAGATGTAAAAAGTATCTATAAAGAACAGAAAACTGAAACAGTTAATTGGCAGTCAAACAAGCGTGTTGTAAAGACACTAATGTGCGCACACAGATTCACTCTTCAGTTTTACTTTTAAAAGTTTATTCAGAAAACCAGACTTAACTATCCTTTTCCCACTCATCCCAAATTACACAAAGATGAATACTCTTTCACCAAAATATTTAAGGAAAGTCCATGCGTTCTGATAAACATCATGTATACAAACAAACACTCTTAATTCTTGTAGGAGTAGTTTGAGAACATTGTATTTGATAAACTTGTAACAGGTACTAAAAAGCTATTCTAATCATTACTTTCCAAGCTACAAATGAAATACAAGCCTGAGACTCCTGAAGCTTTAACTTCCACCCACCACACCATATGGCCTTTAGTCAGGTATAGGTTGTACATTCATCTCCTCTGAAGAAGAGGACCGTATTTAATTTTTCACACAGTCCTTCTAAAGGAAAATGTTGAGCAATCTGAGCACTTATAGTTCCAAGCAGCAAAAAATGTGACATAGCACTACAGTAACAGCAGCTCTAAGCCACAACAGTACCATTATTTTTCTTGCCTAGCTTTCAGTGCAAGGATTTAAGAGTAACAGGGCAATAATAGCTCTTTGGACAGTTACAGAACTCCCCCTGCTGCTCACCCCCCCCACTCAAAAGGCATAAAATGGGACGGCATAGCAAAAACACCCAGTGATCTAAGTGGACCTTTAAACAAGGCTAACCCATGTTCCCTTCTTAGGTTTATTGTACAAGTGGCCCATGACTGTATTTCCTTTGGTTTCTTTTCACAGAAATAGAAGGCTCTATCAGCTGTACAGCTTCCTCCAAAAATAACAGGTCACATGCATTTCTTGCGGTCAGGAACCAAAGCACCCTCAATTTCTTACCTGAAGTTCAGAATGGATGCAAAAAGTCCTCCAAGAGACTTGTCAGGAAAAGGAGTCAGGGTATTTTACTCTGAATTATAAACTTCAAGTTTAAAACACTGTTTGAGAGCTGCAGCTATACCATCCCTTCAGCCCGCTTCCGAGTATACAGTTCAGACTTTTTCTACCTTTTCTGTGCATTATGTAGCAGTAAAACTAGAACCTACAAAAACAACAGTATTTTTGTAAACAGATACTTATGTAGACAAATACTTTTGAAAAATATATTCATACAAAAAGAATGACAGCCCGCTTTTCCACAACAGATTACAGAGTACTACCACGATCGTTTCCAATTCTCACAAACATGGGCATTAAACCTTCAGTCTTCTAAGCAGAACTTATATGTATTATTTCCCTGTATTAAATGGGAAGACTGTACAAGAAAGAGCGCTCAGCATGGTGTGCTAAATACCAGGGTACTTGAGAGAGAAGCTTGTAAGCTTGCTCAGCTGTACAAGACATTACAAACTACAATGACACTTTGCCATTTTCCTTTGTGAAAGTGACATATTGATACACATCTTTATAGCATACCGAAATGGTAAAGAATAATAAAATTTTACAGAAATTGAAGGGAAAAAAAAAAGCAACTTCAAGGAAATCTCCTTGCTAATAGTTGCTTACCATCTATAGCTTCTACAAGTCTGGGAAACTCTTTTGGACACGAGCCACCAAGTCTGTTCTAGGGTAAACTTTTCCGCAAGAGGTAACAGAAGAGCGCTTATGTCTGTCAAAGGCAGTAACAGACGAGAAGCTACAGAGGGCTCCATCCTTCTCAAGACACGTCTGTAAAGATATGTGTTTCAACAAAGTTGTGGATGTAGCCACTGACCTTTAGCTCCCTATGGAGATGCATATTCCATGCATGTCAAACAATACCAACTCATGAAACCAAAGTGACACATGGTTCTACATCAGATTAAAAAAAAAAAGAAAATCAACTATCATTATGCACTCGAGCTTTTATTAAGTAACTGCTTAGAAGGTGTTTTAAGAGATCCTTACGTCATCACTAGATTAAAACTTTACAACTGATCTGTCACAAAAAGGAACAAACATGAAGTTCAGATGGACCCTTTCATAAAGCTCTTCCCAAGCTCACTCTTTGCAAGACTATCTTCCCATGCAGAAGTTGGTACCAAAGTTCTAAGCTAAAGGGATTTACTATTTTCTGTTTGCAAATCCCCCATCTTTTTACAGCATGCAAGCTACCAAGCATCCAACACATACTGAAAGTTTTAACGCTTAATACCTGAAATGCTTCCTAAAAAATTACTTTTGACTTCCCACATTAAGTGATAATCATCACTGGGTTCATCACAACAGAGCATATATATATTTCTGAAAGCTTTAGCATGTAATACGAACTACTCTTTTAAACATTAAGTGTTTCAGAAGCTCAACAGTAAGGAACATGAAGTGCAACAGCTCACTTAAAGCACAACAGAACACAATATAGTTTGATACTGAAGTAGTTCTAATCCCATGACTCCTGTGCACTTCCAGAATATGACATCTTCATTCTTCCTGGGTCCATGTTGCCTCTGCCTCTGTAATTCTAGGATAGAACATGTACTAGTTTAGAATCATTAACACGTTCAACAATTTAGAGGTGACAGTCACTACAAAACAATTTTAGCTTTCTGCATGCATTTATCTTAATATAATTTGAATATCATATTTTTTAAATAAATACGGAAGCTCTTTCATCATAGAACTCTACACATAACGTGGCTAGACCTCAGTGTAAAATAGGTGCACTTCACCAAGCTCAGATTTCATCAGGTGTGAGAATCCTTCCCAAAGTTCAAATCCCAATGTCTCCCACCCAACGCAAACCAGGTGACATAAGTTCAGGGAAAAACTTCCTTCTCCATTCCTTAGTTAAGAATGAATGTCTGCAGTACTCTCCCAGCAAGCACCTTTTCCTTTGGAAAAGTTATGAAGCTCAGTCACGTGTAAAATTGTCCTAAAATAAACAGGTTAAAAGCCTCCAACAGATTCCCCTTCCAAATCCACCATTTGCATGCAGTCTCTTTGAAAAAGAAAGTGAATATTGTAAAAACACAAGTGTTACCTTTCTTCCACAAGAGAAAGGACATCAGGATCCTTACTGAAAACTAGATGATACAAATGCCTCTTTCAGTAATAGTAAAACAGCAAAACCCAGCTTTAGCAGTTAATTTCAAGGGGCAAGGATGAGGAAAGAGGGCTGATTACAAATACGCAGTTTCTGTCAGAATCTCATGTCAGAATGACATGAGGTCTCATAAGAAAGGAATACGATCTGATGATCTCCAGCTCAAAAGAGTTGGTGCACTGCATGTATGTGATTAAGAGGACAGTTGCCCTGAAAGTATTCTATGCGGACAAAGAGACACAGGACATGAAGGATACACTTGGACCTAGAAATGATAGATTTACTGAAATTCTGGGAAACACTCCACAAAGGTTGGAGACGTGTATTTGGAAGCAATCTAGAGATCTACCATCCCCCCCCCCTTGATTGAGATCCACCTTTGAAAGAAATCTATACGAGTTTTAAAAGTGTCCGTGAACAGAAATATAGAAGATTCACTGAGGCTGCACATATGAGAAGAAAGCAAAAGTTTAAGTGTGTAACTGAAGTCTCGTGAAGACCCAAAGAGGAAGGATTCAAATCTGATTAGGGAACTAGTCAGGCAAGTAAATACACCCAAACCACCCAATACTTCCAGTAATAATGGTATGAAAGAATACAGTCAATGAAAGGAAGGTCTGAGCTTGAACTCGAGTTTCAGAGATTGTGTAAGGAGTGAGAGTACTTATTGTTCTTGTGGTCTCTTTCAGGGTTTTAACACTCAGAATTCAACTCAAATGTTATAAAGCTTTTATGGAAGCAAGAGACCAAGGAAAGGCTTTTGATGAAGGCATTAAAATCCAAATAGGTAACAGTAGTAAGTATCAAACATCAGTTGGAAAAAAGAAAAAAAATCATTCAAAGCAGGAGTAACCACAGAATTCAAATCCCTCAGCTAGTGACTACAGAGTGATTTGAGAGCTATGCCACCTAGGCTGTCTCATTTAGTTACGCTGTGTTTTGGCACATGCAAAACCGAAAGACCAGAAAACTCCTTCTTATTGCAGACATAAAGAACAATTTTGACATGGATCAGATTGGGGCATTTATCTAACTATAATTAACTGAAGTTTTTGGTCAAATGAGTTACCTGATTGAGCGATTCGTAACAAGCAGTGACTGTGTAACTAGCAACTATTTGATCCTACCCTACACATGAAGCAGAGAAACTTGTGGAACTACAGCCTTTGCGTATGTTTGCACAAACCTTCGAGAGTAATTCTTGTCACTACAGATCAAGGCTAATGAACTAGTAAAGCCACACAGTTAAGAGACGACATCAACAAAGCTGTCCAAAATTAGCTCTAGAAATACTGAAACTAATAGTGAGTATGTTGAAGGTGTACGATGAAATAAGTTACATAGTGACAGTCGAAACCGTTTCAGGGGCGTTACTCTGGATATATGCTGCTGAACACACTGTTACACTGCAATGAAGTTCTAAAAGCTAAGACTTCCAGTTCATTTGCAGACTTACCTTCTGGGTATGAGGTGATGCAAAGAATCTTTCTCCTTGAAAACCAAAAGCAATTTCTTCCAACCAAACAGGAACTTCCTGCTGGGCCTACATAATGAGAAGTGAATTTAGACACTTTGACTGCTTTACCAATTCATATTAAGAGTTCCGTAACTGTACCAAAAAATAATAGTTGCTGAGTTCGTTAAACTGAAATCCTGAAGAACAGAAAAAGTTAAGCACTAAGATTTGAAACTTACATCCGAAAGCACTTTAACAAGAGGTTGTGCAAGATGGCCATCTGAAGTATTATCAAAGAAGCAAACTGCTTTGCCGGTATTTCCACAACGACCAGTTCGTCCAATTCGATGTACATACTCTTCAATGGTGGAAGGAAGATCATAATTAATAACATGTTGAACATTTTCAATATCCAGACCTCTTGCTGCCACTGAAGTTGCCACGAGAACTGGACATTTTCCAGAACGAAAATCCTGAAGAGCTATTTCTCTCTCTCTCTGTTCTCTATCTCTGCAAAGAAAGCAAATGCTTAGAATGCATCTCAAAAAAATCTGCAGTATTAATTAAGATACAGGTTAAAAGGTCATGATTCATGGACAGAAGTAGGTTGGGGGAACACAACATGAAAACACAACCTACAAACCACCAGTTTAGATTTTTTAACCGTGCAGCATTAAGACACAGCAACTATTTTAACCTAAGTTTCTAAGAAATTAATTATTTTAAAAAGAACCAGAGACAGCCATGTATTGAACTCACTGCCTTGCTAAGATCCACTTGTTTAACTGATTGTTTCTTCATGCCATAGTCAGAAATGCTTTTCCTGCTCTTCACAGAAGGAAGACAGAATAGCACAAATTCTACCTAGACTCCTGCACAGGCAGTTTTCAGGTACAGTAAAAAATGTGGCCAGCAAACAGCACGTAACTTGCCTTTTCTTCATCACAGAATGGTTTGGGCTGGAAAGGACCTTAAAATCATCTAGTTCCAACCCCCTGCCATGGGCAGGGACACCTCACACCAGACCAGGTTGCTCAAGGCTCTGTCCAACCTGGCCTTGAACACTGCCACGTATGGGGCAGCCACAACTTTTCTTGGCAACCTGCTCCAGTGCCTCAGCACCCTCACAGTAAAGAACTTCTTCCTTGTATCTAACCTGAACTTCTGCTGTTTAAGTTTAAACCCATTACCCCCTGTCCTATCGCTACAGTCTCTGATGAAGAGTCCCTCTCCAGCATCCTTGTAGACCCCCTTCAGAAAACTGGCTATGCCATGGGATTTGCTATTTCAAAGAATCTTTACAGATTATACAGTAGTTAAATACAGTAGATCAGAGTTTAAATTATGTTCTTCATTGTCCAATTTAGAAAGCTAAAAATCAGTGCCCTTCTGAATCTAACATGGGACATTTAGGGAAGTCTAGTATGCCCACTGTTCCAGAGAAAAGCAGCTATCCCAACTTCATATCAAAAAACCTCAAATGAATCAGAAATCAGTAACATTCATTACAGTCTAGCAGCTTCTACAGAATCAATTATTCTCTTTCTAAGTATGCCTTAACTCACACTGTAGTAATTACACAGAAATGTGTTAAGAATCTCCTTCCACACAAGTCAAGCTGTGGGACAGCAATTCAGATTAGCCAAGAACAGAAGGCCAGATCTTCTCAAACTGATCTCTTCACACACTTGTAAAACTGATAGGGCACAGGACACATACAAACATCATCTATCTGTGTACTAACATCATTTTAACCCATTTACAACCTTGATATTCTGATGTCTGTCAGAACACTGAACAAAACATCATCTATTGGCAAGGATTCAAGTCCTCTTCTCTCCTAAGATGAAAAATATTGCAAAATAACATTTTCTATGTGCTACAGTTCACTAGGAACCTTAAGATTCAGTTTGTTGCCCTGTATTTTGACACATAAACACCTCAGAACTACATTCCAGCTCATTACATGAAAGACAAACCATTTTCTTAGATGGGTTTAGACCTGGAAATAGCAACTATTTCACCCTGTTTCTCAATATTTGCTCAGGTACACAACACGAGTGAGTAGACTACAAACACAGGTCAGAAGCATCTTCTCTTTAGATTGATCTCCATACAAATGCCATGTCCATGAGCACATCAAGGCAGAAATCTGCACTGTACATATCCCAACTTACCTCTTCACTTTGAGGAAGCCTGTAAGACAAAGTGGAAGGTTCACAACTGCTGCTTGAATTTAGGAATATCATCTCACCCTAAGGTCTGGTTTTGGTCACACAAATGATAACAAAAACTACATTTAAACAAAAGCTGATTCTACTGAATTATATATATTTTTAATTTTTAAACAGTAAGTGTAAGATTGTCCTGTTCATACAGAGCATTGCAAGTCTGATCAACCTGGAAGATGTACACACAGCAAATCCTATGAGAACTGGCCTTCAGAAACACTATATTCTCAACTGGTCAGAGCTGCTAAGGATAAGGCGGCTATCTGACACAAGCTAAATTGCACAGCTAGAGCCAAACATGAATCTCAATAAAAGCTGCTGGTTATCAAGTGACCTTCACTTAATACTACTACCTGATTTTCACTTTAAAAATACTTACCCATGGATGCTAGTAGCAGCTATTTTTTCTTGACAAAGAAAGGCTGCAATGTAGTCTGCTTTTTTCTTTTTGTCCACAAACACCATGGTTCGTTCATGACCTATGTTAAACAGAAGTTCAGATTCACGGCAGTTTGAAACCAGACACATTTTCACTATTCACGGTTAAAGCTACTTATATAAACAACTACTACCAGAACACATTTTGAATAAAGTCTTTAAGGCATGACTGCAATTTCTCGCCTGTGCTGAACTAATTAAATTTAATCCATCAATTTTGAGATCAACACAGACACCTAGGTGAAGACAAGAGCATTGGTTTTTTTCTCCTCTATAAAGGAGGAAGCAAATGTTGTTCTCTATGACAAGCATGCACTCCCTTCTTACGGCATGTGGCTAAAAGCAGCATGCCATTCTAAGCACTGAACATAAAGGTACATAGACCAATTTTTAATTTCAAACTCCCTTCCAGTTTTCAGCATGAGAACTTAAAATATGTTCAGAGCAAAAAGAGAAAAACCCCAGCCATTAACAAAATATAGGCCAGAAAGTTCACATAAGAAGTGAAACACACCTATAATCTTGAGATAATACCTCCAGATGCTAAAGTACTGTAATTCACCATATAATGAAACTAATCATCTGGGAAGCTTGTCTGCTAGTACTCAATAGATATGAGACCTTGACAAATACTCATCAAACGAATATATCTAAAAACCCAGAAGCCCCCATGGTCTGCTTCAAGCTTCCATCAGTAGACTTGTAAAGCATATAACATGCATAATAGCAGAGAATCATGACCTGGTCAATAGCAAGAGCACAAGTTTAAGAACAAACAGTTCTGTCTTCCCTGGAAAGCAATTAGCAGTAAGGAAAGTTACCTATGCTTTGCAGAATTTCTATCAGTTTATCCCTCTTGGAATACTGAGGAACCTGAAGAATATTTTGCTGAACATCACTGCAAGCTCCACCCACGTGTCCAACAACAACAAACAAATAATCAGATTTCAAAAATTCAGCAGCCAGCCTTGAAAAGAAACAAAATTGAATGTGAAATCTGTTACCTATCACAAGATCTTCTTTCAAGATGGAAAAAACTATTTATAAGTCTTGACTGAGGACTCAAAGCCACAACAGGCTACTGAAAACTGAGTTTAAAGTTAATTCAGTCCTACTTAGAAGACGATTAATCTCCCCAACGGCTGTCAGTATTAACTGACTGAATGGAAGAAGACAGCCCATTCCATTCTTCCATTCAGGACAGTCAGCTACTGAAGATGTTTTCTCCCCACCTCAGAAAAGATCTTTCAGACTTTTTGAAAGCCAGAAGAAGATTGTCAGGATCTGACTCACTGAAATGCCAACATACTTCGTTGCAATGGTCTGATCAGTTTACATGCTTTCAAACGGTAACATGTTTACTGGCACTTTTCAGCGATACTGCTGCCAGTATCCCTTCCACAAAATAAACCAAAATTAAGTCAACTGCTAAAACTGAAGTTTAGACTCCTTTAAGAATGACTACTCACATGCCTATCTCTTAAGAAGCGGAAATACTGAATAATTTCCATCCACCTGTAAGGAAAGAGCTGGTGTGTATTGTTACTTCCAGGCCCAGCAACCCACCAACATCTGTCAAAGACTATTATTCTCTCAAGAGTCTGGGAAGTGGACCTTTCAGGGTAGCGAGTAGTAGAGCTGTAAGATCCTGAACATCTGTGGAAGCTTTAAAACCACCATAATCAAATACCATTTATGCATGTAGATAAGAACTGTGTAACAGAAAGGCTAGCAAGTTAAGCAACAATTAGAGTGTCTAATTATATTACATCCTGGTGTCAATAACAGCACTACCAGTGCTGCTCATGAAACAGTAAGATCACTGATTTTGAGTTTGCACAGATGTAGCGGGGGAGGGACAAGAAAGAAACAGGGGCAGCATAAGGACTTCTGCAAAAGTAGAATTTAAGAGCCTTCAGACAAACTTTGTTTGCTTTACAAGTTGCTTTAGAAGTCCCCACCTCAATTAAGCAGTTAATCTATGCAAGTTATTAGTTTGTTACCTAAACAAAAACAAACAAACAAACAAACAAACAAAAAAAAGGATTTCTTCAGCAAGGATGTTAACACCGTAGCGTTTCAGCACCTTCTAGCAAGACACTAAGCTTTTAAACACAAGGAGTACTCTTAACTCTTCAGATATTCATTCTATACATCTTGAGATATAATTCCTTTTTTACTTTACTCACCTTTGAACCTCTTCAGGAAAAGTGGCACTAAACATTAGTGTCTGACGTTTCTCTTTCGGTGGCATGCTTGGGTGAGAAACCAGCTTCTTCATATCTACCCCAAAACCCATATCAAGCATGCGGTCCGCTTCATCTAACACCAAGTAATTCACATTATGCAAAGCAATCTGCAAGTATTTCAGTGGAAGAAAAACTGTATTGGTTCACTGACAGCACACACTTACAGAATATCCTAATTGCCAAAATCCACCTTTTAATTATTTCTTCCTAGTAGATTTCTGGTAGAAGTTAATTATAGAATCATAGAATAGTTAGGGTTGGAAAGGACCTTAAGATCATCTAGTTCCAACCCCCTTGCCATGAGCAGGGACACCACACACTAAACTATGTCGCCCAAGGCTCTGTCCAACCTGGCCTTGAACAAAGATGCTGAACAAGACAAGTCCCAACACCGACCCCCGAGGAACACCACTCATTACTGTTTTCCAACTGGACATTGAGCCACTGACCGCAACTTTTCGCATGTGGCCACCCAGCCAATTCTTTATCCACCTCTTTATCCTTAAATAAAAGCATATTTGCATTATATTTGCATCTCAACTTCCATTTTACATCTTAATCTGCACTAACTCCTATTGTATGAGGACACTGAAGTGCTTCAGAACTTGTTTCAGCAAAGTAAACCAAGATACAGCCTATATATCACCTACTATTCGAAATTATGTCTGAGCTTTAGAAATTATGTCTGAGCTCATATAACCCTCTCATATTTGCAAAAAAAAAAAAAAACAAAACAAAACCTCCTGCTCCGAAAAAATTTATGTCAGGAACTTCACTTACAACTTCACTGTTGATGACCAAAACTGTCATTCTGACTACTAGAAGCCTGTCAACACAGAAAGCCAATCTCCAGCTATCAAGTGGTTTGCCAAACTTCATTTCTCCAGTGCAAAATCACTGAGCCACCAATACAATATGTAGCAATTTTAATTTGAACTTAAAATAGCTAGAAAAACAAAAATTCAAATGCAGTATTACACCTGAATTTTACATTTGAATGAAATCAATACTAAAACATTCAAAGAATTAGTATTAGCATATTCCCAGCTATTCTAGCAAAACAAACAGGACATCAAGTGAAAATCTAATATGGAATTTTCCACAAGAGCTAAAAGGTGTTCCAAGTATTTAAATTATAGAATTTAATTGCCAAGAACTCTGCAGCCAGCTTGTTTTCGACTGAGATTTTCCAATGGGCCCTGAAAGGTAGTGAAGAGGTCTGGACTCACGCAACTCCTTTGAAAACCTATGGTGTTTAGATACTCCATGAAAAGCTCAGTTATATTTTCATAAATGCCTGTACAAAGGTGGCATTCTGACTGGTTTTCATGGCTTTATCTTTGCTTCTACTGAATACGAAAAATGAAAACCAGTATGCAAAAAGCTAAGCATGTTTAGGGAATTCAGATTAAAATCTTACCTTCTCTCTTCCAATTATGTCTAGAAGCCTTCCTGGAGTGGCACACAGTATATTACAGCCTTGCATTATCTGACGGATTGAATGACCCATTTGTGTACCTCCATAGATCACAACAGGCCTTACACAAGTTCTGTAAAACAGAAAAGAACAACCCTGGATTAATGCAAACTGTATTGTTTCATGAAAATACATAAAAAAACCCCACCAGATCTACCATAAACCAGGTTACTTTGAGCAGTTCAATTCCTTCACCAGACAGCACAGCCTATAACCAAAAGCAGGACCTAAGACTAGAAATGCACTCACCATAAGCCCAAAGACACAGAGGATCAAGTTTGTAAGCTTACCTTTATAACCTCCTGCTAAGGCTTTTACATGCATGCAATAAGTATTTTCACACCCAAATTCAAACTGTCTATTGTTGAAGATACTAATTCAGTTTCACATAAACCAGGTCATTTTTTACCAGGAAACTTTTCAGAAAGTTTTAGTCGAGAACAGAAGCAGGTTGGACTCATAGCATTTCAACATTTATCCAGTATCAAGTAATGTATGTATTTCAGATTCCTACTTGTGAACAAAATCAAGGCACTTAGGAATATCGTGAATCTGAACTGAACAATATGCATGCAATTCTTTAGCAGGTACAGATTCACACCCTGATATTGTTTAACTGTCCTCAAAATGTAGGTTATCTTGCTTTTACTGCACGGCAGCTATAGGACAAATTTTCTAAATTCAGAAGCTGTTTTATTGTGAAGTAATCTGTATCTATAGTTTAAAACAGCATAATTAATAGAACTAGGTACATAGTTTTAGGGATTAAGAAGCTTTTTATAGTAACATGCTTACATCAATACACAAACATGATGGTACTTCCCAAAGGCAGAGACAGCCTCCAAGCCTGTTTGCCTGAATGAGCAAAGATAAGTCTAATATAGCCCAACAGATTTTGCTCAGGCAATGTCTTCCATTCCACCTCCTAACACTAACAACCCTTTAGACAATAGATTTAATTTTCTCCCTCTTCACTGGTAAAACTAATGTCACAAGAGAAAGATCATTTAGTAAAAGCGTGCTCTCACACAACATGCAAGGGGTCAATGATAAGTTTATAGACCTTTCGTTCTGTTTTGAAGAAGCAGAGCTATAGGAGCTTGCCTGAGCTATGACATTTCTGTCTGAGACCGGAAAAACTGGAACGTAATGATCAATACCAGGTAACAGTGCAAAAGCTTACCCATACACAAATTTCCTTGCTTCTAGAAAGATCTGATTTATCAGTTCTCTAGTTGGAGCAACAATAATACATTCCGGTTCTTGCTGTTCTTTAAAGCTGGTGGCAGTTATGCCATCTCTCATCATGTGGGCCACAATTGGTAAAAGAAAAGCTACCTAAAAAACAGAAAAAAAAAGTGCAGCATTTATGCTGTTTAGTCTTAAAACTTTCATCAGTCACACTAAAAGCTATTTATCAACCTTAAAGCCTAAATGATACAACACACATTATCAACATCATAAATAAGACTGCAGAAAGATTGACATAAATGCATTTGTGAACATTTAAGCTTATTTCTTCTTGGTTATGATGCATAAAAATGTATCTCTGGACATTAAAGAGTCTAATAACACAGGAACACAGCCATGTATTAGCTAACTTCTGTGTTCTTCAGGCAGTACCACATATCATGCTAACATACACCAATAATTAGATACCCCAGGATCAAAACCCCTTCTCAGCATTTACTTATATGCTTTACATTATCATCAGTAGATTTTTTAAGGCAAACCACGTAACACGATTTTCCAGGCTACTACAATAGCAGATCAGTTTGCAATACAGCTGCACCAGCACCCTTCCTTCCATTAAGACTATTAAGACCTGTACAGCAGTCCCAAAACCATTCAGAATACTTATAGCATAAGCTATGAACATTTCCCTCTCTGAAAACAGGTTTCAAAACAAGTAACTAATAACCCTCATAACATCAAAGCTAGAATTCCATACTTTACTGAATGGCAAAAACCCCCTATACTTAATATTCAAACATTCTTATAGATAGCTGTCAGTGGCTATGTCTGGGTATATTAAACAGTTTAACAAGTTGAGACAACTGTCAACTTACTATCAGCTCTCAAAATTATTCCATGATTAATACTGAATCACCTAAAATTAAGTCTGGTGCAGATCAGATTTGATCAAACCAAGGATGACAAACCAACACAAGACACTGTTACAATCTGCTGTTAAGTTTAAAATCCGAAACAAAAGCAACACACACAACAAAAACGAACAAACAAACACCACATAAAAGTCCACACAAGACAGGAAGAAACCCCAACTTTCCAACTGCTGAGGTTTTTTCCTCATCAGCTGTTTGTTTCTATGATTGCCTATACTTCTGAATCTGTATCTGTAGCCCTGAAGACTGGCCTGCAGTAACAAGACAAGTTCACTGAAATTAAAAAGAAATTCAGCCATCATTCATCGGTACTTAATGCTAGACTTGCCATTGCAAGTCAAATCCTTAGATGGCAAGATGTGAATCATGTGAAACATGAAAGACTGAGGCATCCACCTTAAAAGTTCAAGGTCACACACTTTCAGTACTATCAAGACTACACAAAATGCTTACAGTTTTTCCTGATCCTGTCTGGGCACATGCCATTAAATCCCGTCCTGCCAGTATAATAGGAATGCTGTACTTCTGCACTGGAGTAAGCTTAGAGTACCCAGCTTTAGCAATGTTCACATTTAAAGTCTGACAGAGGTTAGCTTCTTCAAAAGCCTGTAAGAAAAAAATATATTAGCAATACACAATGACGGAAGTTAGAAGTCTTTTTAAAAACTGCGATGCTTACCATAGGATTCAGACATCCAAATACGGAAAAGTAAATTCTGAGAGGCTCACCAGGTATCTAGATTGCCAAGGTTCCAGCAGGTAAGTCTCAGAGGTCTCTTCAACCTGCTCATGCCATGCAAGTGAACTTGTCTGAAGGAAAGTGAAGGCATTCAGCTAGTCTTAACAGATTTGACAGAAAGCTGCTCAGAAGCCATACATCTGGATTCAAGCAGGTAAACTCACATCATGGCATGCTATGAAAACAAACTTAGCTTCTTTGCCGCACATGAAAAGTTGCAGTCAGTGGCTCAATATCCAGTTGGAAAACAGTAACG